GCAACCTTAAAACGGCAAGGTGGCAAGCCTAAGGCCCTAAGAAGAACACTTCTTATCTTCCTATTTGACCACTCATTCCTATAATGATGACTCGACTAACTTGTTTTTCAAGGAAAATCTAAATGTAATGATTTACTAAATCTATCATTGCCACCTAAGAGGGTGAGTCACCTCCTTCATTTAATACCCAAGTGGCCATCATTGGGTTTGGATTTTAGTCACATGTTTCTACCCAAAACTTGCTCTCCAAGTCTTTGACTCTTCTAGAATCTTCGCTAAGCCTCCTTCTTGCCTCTTACTTTCAAGACTCACTTTAGGGTAATGATAGCCCTAATTCTTAGGGACATATAAGCTTGCATTAAATGGCTAGCTTCCAAGAGGAATTAAGGCAACTTAGTCTTCATGACAATTTGTTCCTCAAGCCACAAAAATAGGTAAGTATGCCCTAAGTAGTTTAGGGACACCTAAGCCAAGGAAATCATTACCCTCATTAGAAAGTTCAGAATGTACAGATTTTTTCTCCAGAAGGCTTCAAATCGAAGTTCTAATGTTCTCATATAGAAAATAATGAAGCTTTGCAATCTAGCAAAACCGGACAGTTTTTGCACTATTCTAGAAATCAGACTTAACAGCATAGTAAATGGACTTCGAAAATTCTAAAATTTGAACATGTCATAAATAAGACCATAAAAAATATTTCCCATAAAGAACATGAAATCTGGATCTGTCTTTAAACATAAATTTTAGTAGCTCAAATACAGACTAAAAACAGTTTACTGGAACAGAATCCTTGCTTCTCAAAGTAAGCTCTTTCCAGAATCCATATCATCTCCAAAAATTATCAAATTTTTATATGTTATATAGAAAGAAGTTTTCAACAACTTTTGTGAAGGAAATTTGTTAAGAATCGTTCTATAAAAACTCGTGGAAAATCAAGAATGTGTAAAGGTTACAGAAACAGTAACATTGGACGGCTCAAACCCATTTAGAAAATGGCATTTCGTACAAATCAAATCATTTTAGAAAAATCTGAATTTAAAGTATGTTATACTTCAAGATGTTGGGAACAACTTTGATGAAAAAAGTTTCTTAAAATTCAGTTCAAAAAAATCTCCACAAAAATAACAAAATGAAGAGATGCAGAGGATCCGAATCTGGGTTTTCCAAAACAAGAACACGAATTGAGTCCAAATGAAAAAACCACCAAATTTGATTCAGCAAAACTCAATTCTTAGCAAAATCAAGGGTATAAGAAGATTGGAAGGCTTAGAAATGAGTCTTATCTCCTTATTCACAGGTAAGAGTAGGGCACGTGTCGCGTTCAAGACCGATCCCTAATCCCTTGGCAAACCGATCCATAGCCATTTCCCGGGGACTGAAATTGAGGATGTTACAGTTCACTTGCTCCGCCGCCTCGCGGCCTCGACTCGCAGACATCACTCTCTCGATGACGTCATTTGCTTCTAGATCCTGAAGCTCTCATCCTCACTCAGGCCAGATCTTCCATGTTAGCTCTAGTCACAATGATCCAGAATCTTGGGCGCGTGAGGATGCTCAACAAGTGCTTGGGAGCTCTCCAGAGCTACCGGATTCAGCGGGAGGTGCAGCACGGCAAGGTGACCATCCTATGACCGCCATCGTCTTTCGTGGCACCATTAGCGCCGGAAAGTTCGACATGTCGACAGGTCTATTTCTATCCAGTAGGACCCCATAATTCCTCCATGTTTCTTGAGTGACTCAAGTTGACTTATACTTAATTCAAACTTTAATCAAATCCCCAAGAATTCTTCTTTTATTATTATTATCGTTGTTGCTGTTGTTGATATTGTTTTATATAACGTTCCATCTTTTTTAGATCTTGAAGTTGATTGCCATAGCTGGAGTTTGGATCCACGTGAACAAAATAAGCAATCAAGGTCAGGTTTTCAGCATGCCCTAATATCAAAAGAGGATTTCACGGACCACCCCATTATTTTCTTTATAATATAGTCTTGCGAATGCTTCCTAATGAAACAAACTGTCACGAAACCAAAGCAGTAAATGGCATCTTCTATTCTGCTTGCTTGAAGCGGGCAGCACAGGGGTTGACTTTAGTGAACAGATACCTTCCTGTAGCTTTTATTTTTATTTTTTGAATCCCTCTTAAATAGGTAATGAGAAAATGACATAAATGGTACCTAAATTCTGTCAAATATGCAATGTCATCCCTGAACTTTTAGATATTTTCATATAGTAGAGGGACTACATTGAACATTTATGAATAGTTCATAGATCATATTAAATAAATTAAAAATTCGGAGACGACATTGTACATTAGACTAAAATTTATGGACCATTTATGCCATGACCATTTATGCCATGATCGCATATGTAATTATATTATGACACTTCATCCATTGAACTGAGAAACTACAGCCGACTCTACGGCACAGTGACCCATGATCTTGAAGCCTAACAATAATAGAAAGTCAGGGTTGAGACGATAATAGACTTAGTTTTGACATAGATGTTTCTAAGAACTTTTGAAATGTTGATCTACTTATCTGATCAAAGTGATTCTGTTGCAGGCTTTCTTTCTCAAGATGTTTAGTATGATCTTCCATCCTTTCAAACTTTACAACTTCTTTCTTATTAGCGAAGGAATCACCTCTCGTGTGATGATGTCTTTGAATGAAATGAACCTCACATATGGAAAAAGAGATTCAAGGTTCTTTTCACTCTATTTCATTTTTAGGTCTCGTGCGATGGGCCTAATTTGTCAAGATAGGTGGTACTTCACTCCCTCTCTCATGCATTGACTACCTCAATCATGTCATAGATATCATAGCTCATGACAGATCATAAGCTATCATTAAAGAAAAAAGGTCGTAAAGATCCAAAATCTGGTGAGTGGGGGTGGGGTCATGGTCCTTCTGAATCATCTGATGATGCTGGGTACACACGAGCAATAGAGCCCAAAGAATCATACAAAGGAGGAGTGAGACAAACATCAGCTCAGATTGTAAGCCAAGACCAGTGTGACTTTCTTTCTGTATCAGGCTGAACAGCAAGAGCATGTGTAAGTGCAAAAGAGTAGATGACACGCCACCCCCTGTGGACTTTCTCTCTCTACCCTCCTCTTCTCCCTTCTCTCTCTTGCTCTTTTCTTTATTAATTTCTTTTCTATTTTTTTTAGTACTTTGGCCACATCTCTCATCTGCAGTATGACTTTACTGGAATGCCAGCTCCTCCTACCTAAAAGTCTACTGTTTTTTCCCCCTACCTCAAGTTGGGGACATGGAAGTCTGATTCTTGATTTACTTCACTATTTTGAGCATTGCTTTCCTTTTCCTGTTTTTGCCTACTTTCATGACAGATCAAGGGTTCCTAGCCATTTGAGGGATCATCATCGACATAGTCGTGAGATAATGAATCGAGTAAAATGTTGACGTTGACTAGAAGTTTCGTTTATCATGCCGGCCTTCGCAAGCTTGGGTTGCTCGAAACCTACCCCAAATTTGCATCTTGAATTGTGTTAGATAACCTTTGGCAATGTATATGCAACATATATCTTTGGATCTTTTTTCTTCGCATATGGATTGAACCTTCCACTAAACTACCGAATGTGAATATAATGGAAATTTACGGATAGATTAAATAAATAAATAAGGGGTTGTATCATTAAATATCCTAAGCGGGTATCCTATGACTTTACCCCCAAATTAATTTTTGTCTCACATAATAACCCAAATCGGTACCTTTAACCCAAATCTACCCTCTATGAACATATTGTCTGATATCCCATTAAAATGCAAACGTGTTAACACACGTGGCAAACAACAGCCAAAGATAAATCTGACATGGATAATGATAAATTCAACGTGAAAATTCTCATATGTTCACATATATACATTTGAACAAAGGGTAAATTTGAGTTGAGGGTGCCAGTCTTAGATTTTTTCTGAGATGGGAATTAGTTTAGGGTAAATGAGTCACGGGTACAAAATCTGAGATTTTAGGTGAAATGAAAATTAGTTTTTTGGTAAATGTCTTATAAGATGCCCGTTTAAAAAATTTGACGAGATGAATATGAGTTTGAGATAAATGGGTCATGAATTACCATGTTGGGATTTCGATGGTATTTATCCATAAATAATAGAAGTGTATTGGAATTGGATGTTTTACTTAAAAGCTTAGACTGTCATCACCAAGATTCCACAAGAATTTACAGGTACATAGCATGTCTGGATAAGGTTAATGCCATGACCGACAGAGAATATATTCCTATGGATTTTTTTCCTTTATTAACTACTCTGGACAATTATAGCTGATTAAGTTGCAGAAAAGCAAGATTTTGCCCCAGAATTCTTTTCTTTCTTTTTCTTTTTTCCCAAATGAAGAATTTGCAGTTGCAAAAACTAAACGAGGGAGGTCCCCCCTCCATCGCCGAAAACTGAAAGCTGCCTCTGCTTTTCCAAGCAGTGAGAATCTACCCTCTATTCAATGCCTCCTTGCTGCTAAAATCAAAGAGAAGGCTAAAAAATTAAAACAAAACCATAAATTCACGACCTTGATGAAGTGGGTTCCATCCCATCTTGTCCTGTTACCCTCATTCTTTAATTTTTTTCATCATGTCCTGTTCTCGTTTTTTGCGCTTTCCCATGGCTTCGCCATAAACCCTGTTGACTAAAATATGAACCGGAGAAGAAACGGACACTGACACCAACGCCCACACACTCACAGAGATAGAGAGAGAATGGGCAATTCCATCCATTGAACCCTTTTCTGCTGAAGCTGCTTATTATGCAGAAGAGACAACAATGATGGTCTAAACACACTTGTTCTTTTACATTTGCATCTTGGAATCGATGGTTGCGGTTGTTCCTGCATAGCAAAGAGATTGAATCCTGGAGCAGCTGCTATTTGCTTTAATTTACTTGGAAATAAAATCTTTCTATCATTAGAAAGGAAGCAGAGCATATAAAGGGACAGACTAGAGAACTGCAACATCTGAATTGAACTAAGAGCAAATCATCACATCCCTATCAATTATCACCAAGATTCAATCTTACATGCAAAGCGCCCATCCTTTCCCCTGATCACCATCACCGCAAAAGAAAGAGAAGACTAAAAATGAGAAAAAAAAAAGGGAGGGCAAAGGAAAAAGGCAAAAAAAATGTCATCTTTCTTTTTTGGGTTGCACTACCAGAAGCAGGAGTCGTAGCTTCTGTTGTGACTGCTGCTAGGATTGAGGAGGCGCAAGAAGTTCGACCTTCTTCTCCTTCCTCTGCTGCCGCTGCAGTAGTAGAGACAAGAACAGCCCCGACCGTGGACATGAGGCCGGACAGATCTGCAGAGCCTGGCCCAGACGAGCCTCCTGAACCGGCGAACGGACCGGAGCCTGAACCAGACGACCCGCTTGACCCGCCGCAGCGACCTCCGAATCCGCTCGCTCAAGCTCCTCTTCCTGCTGAACTGGTAGCTCCTCAGGAACAGCTGCCGCTTCTCCATCATCCTGTGGCTGTAGCCGCCGCCCCCGCCGTAGCCGTAGCCGTAGCCGCCGCTCTCCATCGAGTCGGTCCTGAAAACCGCCGGACCCACCACCGCCGTGCCCGTGGAAATCATGGGTCGGCCTCTGTTTCCGGAGATGGGCGCGAGGGAGAGAGATATCGGGCCAGGGAAGTGGCGAGAAAGGTGAGATTTTTCTTCACGGGTGCTTCCTCAGAGAAGCGAGCGCTGTGTTTCTTGGTCTTCTTGCATTGTGGGGCGAGCCTGCGAGGGCGGCGGCTACGCGTACGCCGCCAGAGAAGAGAGAGAGAGGACAGGGAGGTGGTGGTAGAAGTGGTGGTGGTGGTGGTGGTGGGGGGATGCTTGTGGGGGAACACACTGTTTTGCAAGCTCCATATTTATATATAATATGAATTTGGCTTTTATGCTTAATTTATTTTTATTTTTTTTGTATTTTCTAATCTTGTAATTTGATTTTTGGTAAGAAAAACAATGGGGGATTGAGAGAGTCTTTATAGTTTTCAACTGTTACACATGAGCAACTTAGGTCGTGAAAGTTTTATATAAAGAGGGGAGAGGGGGGAATCACGTGCCTTTTGTGCTGCCCCCTTACCTTTTCTTCTTTTCTTTCTCCTCCTTTATTCCTCTCTTTTAACGTTTTTGGATAATCTCTTATCTCTCTTTTATTTTTGTGATTATTAACAAAGCAAATTGGTAATAACTCGCGATGCCACGTAAACAATTTACTGGACGTCAATAAACAAGTAGCCCGAAGACGACCGGGGGAGGGGATTCGAGTTGTTATGAATCTCTTCGGTCTTTACTTCCTCCTTTCAGCGACGCGCACGGCATGACATGACCTCGTTGTGCTGGACCGAATTACTGATAACCGTCTCGAGTGTATGGCCATATTTAGTTCAGGTTTAACTAGCCCCTATATGGGAATGAATCTTGGGTCTTGCCTGTGGCAAGTCATTCTATTCATTCCTAATTCCCTAGTTTAATTTAAAGTGTTTGGGAATGGTAACTTCAGTAGGTTAGGTAGGGCATTGCATCACAGCCAGCAGATCATAAAAAATTCCAAATTCGTTTGGTCGGATCTTGACCGTCCACGTCAGTAGACCCCCGTTAGGTTCAGTGAAAAGGGTGGCTCTGATCTGAGGCACATTCATGTCTGATTGGCTAAAAAGAGGGTAAAAGGAGGAGGATTGGTTTGCTTGACATGGATGATTACGTAATGACGGGATGAGTGTGAATGAAAAGCTGAGTTTGCATGATGCATGGGATGCGATTGGCTCATGAGTTGAGAATGAGAAGGGATCGCAAGAAAGCTTTGGGATCGATCCACCAGCTTTTCTTGTCGTGATCAGTAGGATGAGATGATAATCAATGACAGGTGTAACCAACCCTCCTCTTTTCTTCTTTAAGGGTTTGTGGTATTCGCCTTCGAGTTTGGCCCAAACAGGACATCCCCATTTGCTTTTGAGAGGAAAAGGTCTTCCCAAGTGTAGTCCTTTTCTCAACAGGTTTAAGCATACCATATTCATGTCAACACACGAGAAAACCCCTGATAGAGAGAGAGAAAGAGTCCAAGCAGTTAAAGCAACCATGAAGATGCTTTCTACACAGAGAAAGTCATGACCAATGAGAGCTTCCTCTTCTAGCTAATTGAAAACCAGGCAACATCAACAACCCCAAAATTTCCCCCCTAAACCATGCAAGCAAGTCCAGGCTAACTCAACAAATCCAAGAGCATAGAGTGACAAAATCTGAACATTGAGAAGTATTAAGAAAAAGAGAAGTCAGATATAGTTGCTGTATTCGACCAAAAAAAATATAGTTGCTGTAGCTTCTAAAGAATGCAAAAGACACCTGGGGTGGTGATCTAGATGCGCACGTCAAAAGATCATATCACGGCATGTGAATAGAGTCATTATCACATCATGGGCAAGCAAAAGATAGCCTCTGCAGGTTACTTTACCTATCCCTGAATACGTGGGGGAAGAAGAGCAGAAAGTGCTCAAATAAAGGCCGGATTAATGGGACTTTTCAGTACACGTCTAAAGCTACAAACAGAAAGGATGGATAAAGTTTTCATCAAACAAGCAACAGTTACGTGCGCTTCTTTGCTTGCATGAGAAAATAACGACTCAAGCTCATCGCCAGTAGCTAAAGGAGTAGCAGCAGATTGATATATTTGCATTCAATAAGAGTTTCGCTAAGAGGTAGTACGGAGACTTTAATGGCTCAAGACATAGCACACAATGAAGAAATCACATACCAATAGAATTAACTGCAAATTCATGTACAAACCAATGCATACTCCAATTTAGACCATGGTAATCACATGTGCTCACTCCCACGCCAAAACTAGAACACATGGAAGCAAAGTATCTATTTCAGCACTGAATTACAGGTTCAGCACTGTGAGTTTGTAAAAGTGCGAGAAATCTTTACCTACAATGTACACTGGACAAGCCTGCCACTAAACAAGATTCCAACCGGAAGCCCCAAATTCAATGAGTACCTCCAAGGACACGATGACACAGGCATTGGTTTCCCAAAAAATGAAAGGCAATATCTGAATCTCCACTCGACCCGTGTTATTCTTTCGCATTTATCCCTTTATGTTAACGGCGCTTAAGTCCATTTAGTGAAGATGCGGCAATTTTTCTTGTCACCTTTTCTCCCCGTCATTAGCTGCAGGAACTTCAGCTGGATAGTTAGAAATGTCTAAATCGATAAGCGTCATGTCGTATGGTGTAGATGACAAGACTGAGAGGTCAACAAGAGGGGAAGATTGTGCATTCATGGCTTCGGAATTTGTTGAATCAGGCACAGAGGTATGATTCCTGGGAGTGCTTTCACCAGAAGAACTTGAGAGCTGCAGTTCATCCATCTTGTTTCCAAGCACATGTTTGTTTCTTCTTACAGTATCCATTTCCTGTCCTGTTGGCACAAAGGTGCGTGATCGATACTTCTTCGTGCCCTCTTCACCCTCGCTATGGTTATAAAGGACATATTCATGATAAGTTGGCGCAAACTGCAAAGAGAAAAAAAAATAGTCTACTTGAGGCACCATCACCGGCAAGTCACAAGCATAAAGTACACAGAGCTCCCTATAAACCTGGTGGACGGTGTCATGGTAAAAATCATTTAACTTCAAAGCATGGCCGAGGCTCCCCATGAAACCATTAGAGCCACCAACATTGGCACCTGCATACTCTTTGTATGGAAAAGCATAGAGGTGACCAATAGCAGCAATCAGCATCTCAACACATATGATAAAATCCTGAAACCGAGCAGCTTCCTCTGCATTTTTTATGAGGTATAACTTGGCAGCGAGAAAAACCAAGACACCCTGCAAAAAAGGTAAGGGAACTAAGTTGAATGAAGAATGCAGAGCCCAGGAAACAATTCAAACAGCAGATATATGCCACTTTGTACAATTATTATACTAAATTACATATCGCACTAGCCTCCTTGTACAATAACTAGATTTAAAAGCTGCTTTCCAGCAAAATAATCAGCTACACATTACACTAGATAGATCTACAGTTATCCCACATCTTAACATAATTGCCAATTTGCTATCAAATTCTAATTTGTGATTACTAGTTCAATATAAGATTTGCCAAATAGAACCATCATTCTTCCAATACTATAAATAAAGACAACACAACCTAGCTTGTGACCCCATGAAATCAATAGCAAGTGATTACTCAACATAAGTGAAAGCAAAACTCCTCTAAAGCATTCATGTTCTTTAAGACAAAGCCCTTTGCAATTCGTTAGGTTCATTCTCCCAATACTTCGATAAGGTACATGTTCATGAAAATCAGTATGGCAACTGCTCTTTTGCTTTGACTTGTGAGCATTCATGCATGCATGGCGATTTTATGGCTACAGCCGTTCTGTTCTCTGGGAAGTGCAGATGAAATTTAGTACATTTTTCTCAACTCTTATTTCTTTTCTCATTGGGTTTGGGGGGTAAGGGAGGGGGGGGGTGGAAATGGGTTAGGGATGTATGAAAACAACATAGCATATTACTTTTACCTGCCAATAAGTTAAGAAGACAACGGACTTGATGATGATAAACTTCGGAACAGGATTGAATGGCTGGAGCAGATCTCTACATGCCACATAAAACAATGCCAAAGCATAAAGAGCCATCGTGTATGATGCAGTGTAAATGATAGTGAGATACAGGTATGATTGTCGAGGATCAAAATTTCCATCATGATATTTTCCTTGAGCATAGAGGACAAGAGTAACAACAACCAAAAAGGGCTTCAGTATCACAAACTGTAAGCATCCTTGCTTGCACCTACGTATGAAACGTCTGCAACAAAGGCATCAAAAATCACGATAAGTTCGTGGAAAGTCTATTTCAGTTTGACAGATAAGAAAGTAATTTGTACAATCATAAGTTGTAACAAAGCTTTGAGATCTTGAATCTATATCCAATCCTCATATATGTTGTTGATAGCATCCAAATCTACTTGTTCGCCAGATAATAAGGAAGAAAAACAAGTGTAACAAGGAAAAGGACAACCACAATTTGACAAATTTGGGCTAAGAGTAACCAACTAACTGTGCAGTTCTTTAAAAGTGTTTATTCAAGATGACTGCCAAGGACTCAATGACCCTGTTTTGAAGACAAACATATCATCTAACTTCTCTAACTGTTGATTTCAAGACGACTCAATTATACGATATTCCAAGGACCAAATTAACTCTTGTAGAATTTGCAAAAGTATAGATCAGGGACCAACCCATCCAGTGGCAAGGGAGGAAAACAGCATGTCATTAAAAACAAGGATGGTTTGAGAACACGACCACTTAAGCTCAGAACCACAGCTCCTGGCCCGCCAACCCATGCAAGGCACAGAGACAGAAAGTTGTAAATAACCCAGGCTTCATATCTGAAAACAGTTCAAAATCAGAAGGATGTCAGGGGAATGTAATTTAACAGGATGCAATGTACCATTAGTCTAAACTGCATAACCTTAACAAAATGTGCACTTTTATCGACTAGGAGAAAAAAAGTATGCATGATCTGCTTCGTAGTAAGGGAAGATTCATTATTCCATCTATTATCAAACAAGTCATTCAGGTTATGTGATAATGCTGCAACTCAAGCCAGTAGCATTTACAGGGGTACTTAAAAAGGCATTGTCCATCAAAATGTGAAAATGACCTTTTGAAAGCATCAAGCTTGGCTCTGCTTGTTCTAGCTTCTTTATATACTTTTTATTTTCCCTCCACAACGTTGAAAAAACAATATATACTTTTAACATTAAGAAATTATGAAGAAACTCCAAAATGACTGCACATGTCAATGTCTGTATGTTTCGAGAGGTTTCGGGTACTCAACATAAAATAAAAAGTCGACTCCAAAATGACCATAACCAATGAAGGGGAAAAGAAACACAAGTGGAGAAGATTTTCACATGCATGCAGTTACATCAATGAGAGTGCACTTACACTTCCCGAAAGGAGTTGAAATATATTGAACTCCCAGGTAAAACCAGAGACAAGAAGGACATCAAAGCATATACCTGTCAAGTAATTCAGAGTAAATCATCTCATGATATGAGCTAGACTCGGAATAAGCATTACAATTGTTTCCCCTGATCCCAAGGCAACATGCTAATGCCAAATAATCCTCACGTCTATCATTTTTTAGCTATAAGTCAACGAGCATTTGACTGATCCACAATTGGATAAACACACATAAAAAAAGCTAAGTATTCCAAATTTCTCCTCTATCTTTAGTGCTGGCACATCCCAAGCATTCTTTGCCTCATTTAGTCAATTGAGTTGAGAGTAGGCCCTCATTTACAAGTGCTCATAATCATCATAAGCGCCAATCTACAGCAATCCACCTAACGGCCTAATTTCACCATAATCAAATAAAAAATTTCATTTACTAAACTGTATTTGTAATTTCCTAAACAAAGACGCGAACATAGATTGCTCAAACTGGGAAATGCTACGAAATATAAGAAAGACGAGCCACACAACTATGTGGAACAAATTAAATCAATCGAAAGGGAACTCCAATTGAGAAGGCAGCATTAAACTCAGCAAGAACGAAACACTCACAGGAACCATAAAGATGATCCGGACAATATATCTCTGGTAAATCGGCTCGGTATAGTTAATTAGGTGCCTGTAGATGTGAAAAATGGCCAGAGCAATGGACCCCACCGTGCATAAGAATGCAATGATGCTGAAGTAAATCGGTACCGAATCGGCCATGGCAATGTTCTGATCCACCAATACCTCCTGATGCCCAAAAAAAATTAGCTAACAAGAACCAACTAGACATCGACATCACACACAGTTAGTAGCCATTCAACTCTACATACCTCGAAGCGCAGTCAACCAATGCTACACGGCCTTATACTTCCAATTTCAGATTTCCACGCTCACTTCGCATGGCGACCCTTCTTCCTCCTCCGACCGAACTCGCGAACCACCCCGCGAACCCTAATCCAGAACCACAACCGGCCCTGCAAGCAAAACGCCGCAAAACCCACGTGAGAATCACTACAACCATCTTCACTAGCAGCTCCATCAGTCCACTTCTCCCCCCAGTCCTCGAAAACAATGCAGCCAACGCAAAACGAAAACTTCACCGCCCCCCCCCACCCAAATACAAACAAGCACGCGAAACCCACCACGGAATTCGCTTCACATCGAACAGCAAACCCGCACCCATCAGCGATAAACCCACAATTTGCTATCGGAAAAGCGAAACTTCGAAAGACCCACAATTCAGAATCCACTACCTGACGTAGCGGTTGGCGATGTACGATGGACCCGCTTTCATTCACGAAATCGGGAGGGAGTTAGGGTTTGCGGGGACTGACCTGGTTCGAGCTCGATGCCTGCGTGGGGATGATGACGATGACGGTGGATCGAGGGAGGTGGGCGCAAGTCAAACTGGGAGGAGACGGGATCCGCTAGAGAGAGAAAGCGGCGACAAGGGGAGCAGAAGGGAGGCGATGAGAGAGAAACGGCGGAGGGGAAGTTTGCTTCGCTGGGGGAGGCAACAATGGCGGCTCTTCAGTCTTCTTCGCTGGAAAATCAGAAAAATAGACCATCTTTTTTCTTTTTTTCTTTTTTTTTGGCCGAATTAAAAAGAATTTATTATTTTTGTGTTCGAGCAACGTCAAACGCCTAAATAAAAAATCAAAATACCCAACTTATTATTGTTTTTTCCTTTTATTTTTTTTAATACCGCCATACGAAAAATTTCTCTATTCGACTCTCGAATTATAATTATCGATACGATGATGACGCTGATGTAACAACTAAATGAGAATGAGAATAAGATTAAGATTAAGTCAAATCGCGTTTCGCGCTTCCGTGGATTACTTTTTTAATCGATATCCGGTCTTAGTTTAGAAAAATTATTATTTGTAGATTTCGGAGGATATTTTGGACATTTCAACTTCGAGACGGAATGCTTTATTTTTAGTTTGCCATTTTGTTTTAGAAAATGCGTGGGAATCAAAGTTAGTTTGACTTCGGTTTCGTTTGACTTGACTTGGAAGGAAATCTAAAGCTAAACAGATGAAAGGCAAGAACGTAGTAGAAGACACAAGGAAATACCTTCCTTAGTTCACGTCATTCTAACCCAAAACTAAATCAGACAAGACTGGATGTTGTAAATCACGCCCTTTTGGGGTTTTGTTGTCTCAAACTTGTAACCCCTTTGATTTTCAGCTTATGCGAAGAGACCTGTAATCGGATCCCGTTTAGATAAGATTTCGGCACAATCCAGCGTCTCCACGACGTAGTTTTGTGGAGTTCGGTCATCCATTCCAACGTGGACAAAGATATTCGTACGTTCGCCTTTGATTCAATCGACAAGATTTATCGCCAAGCACCCAGCCTGACGACAAGGGAATCGAGGGCGGGGATGAGGCCGGGGCCTGGGATCACGTCCCGGCACGACATGAGCACTGGACCAGTGGTTCATGGTCTACCTAGCACCTAGGAATATGCAAGGAAAGCATAGGCCATCATGCTTATTCCGAGTTCCTCTCTTGATGAATTGTCAATGGCAAACTACTCAACAGACCCTTCGACCAACAAGAACTTCAAGGAGCGCTAGCCTTCAATGTGGGGCTTCTTCTTAATCCATCAATGACAAAATACCACCAAGCACCCAGCCGGACTGCGAGGGAATCAAGGGCTAGGACGATGCCGAGGCCCAGGATCACACCCCGGGACGACACGAGCGCTGGACCGATGGTTCATAGTCTACCTAGTACCTAGGAATATGCAAGGAAAGCATAGTCCATGCTTTAGTCTGAGTTCCTCCCGTGATGTATTGTCAAAGGCAAACCACTTACTTAACAAACCCTTTGACCAACAAGAACTTCAAGAAGGAGGTTGTTAGCCTTCAATGGGGTGCTTCTTCTTCATCCATCAATGACAAAGATACATTACAGGAGTGACATGCCAACATTGCCAAGAATCACCACCCAAAACTCAGAAAGTCAAAAATTCTTTTTCATTCTCATCAGCACACAAGCACAGTCCCTACTTCCCAAAGAGAATGCTCATGACACTCCTGAAGACAGGACCTCTTTTGCTACCAATCACTTCTCTAACACCCTTCTCATCAGGCACAAACCCTTTACCCTTCATCGCCTCCAGAAACTCCCTCGCTTCTTCCTCTTTCTGGTCCTTCGCGAATGCCTCGAACACCGCGGCGTAGGTCGCGGCGGCGGGCATCATCCCTTTGCTCATCATCTCCATGACGTACTTCTTCGCGTCTGCCAACCTCCCGTCGCCCGCGAGTCCCTTCACGAGGACCGCGTAGGTGTACGCGTTGGGCGCGACCCCAGAAGCCAGCATCCGCATGAACACCTTGAGCGCCTCTTTGCTCTGTCCACCTGCAATGGGAACATATATGATTTAGAGGCCCATGCTTGACATGATGGAAAACCAATCACAGTGACGAAAACACGGGATTGTTTCAGTCCGAGTCCGATTTTATCCAAACAAGCACACGCTGGAACATGGAGTAAAAGACTCGACTTATTTACACATGCTGCTTGAGCTTGACGGGCTCTTAACGAGTTCCTAGTAATTCGAGTATCGAAATCTAGTCCAGTTCAGACTCCATCCTACTTAATTTGAGCAATTCAAGCCTACTCATGTCGTCTGCTTGATAACTTACGCAAACCAAGCTCATACTTTCACTGGATTTTCAAGCCAAGCTTGAGCATATTGAGTTTAGCATTAGAGTGTCTAACTTTGTCGGGCCAAGTCAAGCAGTAAAGTGGCATTGCGTTCCACACCTGCATTGCAGTATGCCTCGATGACGGCGGTGTGGGCGACCACGTCGGGCATGTGGCCCTTGTCCTTGATCTGGCCGAAGAGCTCGAGGGCCTCGTGGGTGCGACCGTCCTTGGACAAAGCGTCGAACATCTTGACCGCATAGTCGTTGAGCCCCTCGCTCCTCATCTTGTGGAAGATCTCCTGCAAGTTCTTGGGATCCTCGGGCTCTTCCACCGCCGGCTTCTTGCTGAACGGGTCGTAGGGCGGCGGGAGCCTCGCCTCCTCCGCCGCTGTCGAAGTGGCGCCGCCGCCGCCGCCGCCGTCGGCCTCTCCGTCTTCGGAGTCGGAGAACGAGAAGTTGACTAATTTGGGGTTTCTGGGGGCGCGGGGCCCGTGGGCATCGCCGGAGCCGCTGGCGAACGGCCGTGAGGGAGCCGGGCTCGGGCGCAGGGTGGCGGCGGCGAAAGGTACGGACGCGGCCGTTCCGGTGACGGCGGCGGAAGGGCGGAGATGGGTGTGGGGCGAGCTCGTTAGGCGGGAGAAATGCGAGAGGCGCCTGTGGAGAGAGAGAGCGGAGGCGGCGGCGGCGGCGAGGGAGCGGGAGACGGCGGCGGCGGCGGCCGCCATCGACGGCCACTTGCTGCTTCAGCTGGGAGAAAGAGAGAGAGAAGTTGGCGCTGGAGAGCTCGTAATCTTCAATAAAAACGTTCGCCGTCCTCGTCACGTGCATGACGCGTGGGGATTTTTGTCCGAAAATGATGACGTGGAATTTTAAAAAGAAGGAGGAGAAATTAAAACTAAAAATCACAACCTACATAGGGAGAGAGAGAGAGAGGGGAGGAGGGAGAGGGGCGGAGGGGGAGGCGGCGACGTGGCGGGGCAGGGCGGGGCGGGGCTATGAGGCGGAAGAGGGTCCGACTTCCCCCCCCCCCCCCCGATCAAGCTTGGGCTGGTGGACGGAGATCCGGTCCCTTAAATCACAAACGCACACCATCATCTCCACTGGCCTCGATTGCAAAACAACTAATGCGAGGTGGCTTAATTTAGTGTCGAAATGACTCGTTAATCAGACGAGAGGCTGTAACCACAATACATAAAAAAGTGCAAAACATTAAACTCGGTGATCATTTTGGCGATGAGATTTGTGGTCAAAGATATTTGGTGACCAAAGTAAAAGGTTAGGACAATATGATATTTATCCTATAAGGTACTTGTAAGATCGGATAAAATAGGGATATGAGTAGGATATCTCATGCCATTAAATTTTTTTTTTGTCAAAACTCTTGTCATGAGTATGAAGGCATTTTTTTTCTTATATCAACAGATTTTCGAGACTTTTTAAGCACCCGACTAATCTCTACTTGATATGACAATTTCACATCGTATATCCACCTGACAATTACCCCTACCCTCTTCTTCAAGCTCGAAACTATCACCCGTCAACTAATTATCATTGATAGCTGCGAAAAGTAATTATAAGATCCTTAATTCCTCAATATTACACAGATTATTATTGTTTAGCGAGTCCAAATACATGTACCAAAATTACACACGCCAAAGTTCAAACATTTGGAAGAAGAAATGCATCAAGCATTTTGGTAGCCGCAGTTCGCTTGAAAATGCATAGGCTTTATATGTTTTCCTATAGTCCATTCACCACAAACATGATGTCCATTGGTGCACCTTGGAGCCAAATCGAACTCTCCTCCGAGCTAATTCAAATCGATGGATCGAGGTCACAATACAAGTCTCACAACACATATATTCTCGACAAAGTAATCGCTATCCAACGACATAGAATTATGCACAGAACGTCATTTACACGTTCGATTCAAGTTCACGTATGAAGAAATACAGCGGAGGATCATGCCATTTCTTTTAGATACCAAAAGAGGCGAATACAAAGCTTAATAAATTCATCCTCAAAATGATTCGGGATACGACATATTTTTCGAACAATAGATATTTTTATTCTTCAATAATAAGAGTTTATCATAATCTTAAATATAAATTTTCATAGTTTTTTTTGTATGTTAATTAAAATATGGATCAAGCAGCTATTAGAAACTAAAAATCAAAATTGCACCAAACCCTAGTTGGTCCCCCCTGGTGGACTTTCAACGGTCTGCCGTTTGCTTCCTCCTCCTCCTCTGCTCTTCTTCTTCTCCTCCTTCTTCTTCTTCTTCAGCCGAGACGAACCAGCTCTGCGTTCTTCATCTTCATCTCCATCTTCTTCATCGAGCTCAAAGGTCTCTCCTTTCGGCCATGGAAAGAGACCCATCGTCGTTCCTCTTCGCCGGAATCCAATTCAACCGGAAGAAGTTCGCCGGCGATTTCGCCAGATTCCGGGTAACGCTCCCCCCCGCCCCCTCTCCAAAGTTCGTTCCTTTCTGCCCTCCCCGTAAATGGGTCGATCGCTAATACGTTCCTCTGGGTTCAGGACAAGAAGGAACGAGATGATGATGACCCGGTCGGGAGCTCGAGCCCGCCGGAGACCGCCGGCGCGGTCGAGCGTGGAGAGGCGGCGGCGGCGCCCGCGAAGAAGAGGAAGAGGAAGGCGGTGAGTGGTTCAGGTACTTGCTTGGTTGTCGAGTTGCTTCTGGGCTTGGGGGGCGTGTCTTGTTAGGTGCTGTTCACGGAGCCAATCCGATATGCGCTCAAGCTCTGCTTCGTCTTTGCGCTTCGACAGGCGCGGTGGAGGGTTTCAGCGTCTTCAACAGTTCGAAGTCCGCTCCTGATTCTGTAGTCGAACAGGAAGAGAGGGATGAAGATGGGCATTTGAGGGAAAGGAAAGAGATGTATAGACAAATGGAGGTTTAAATTTTTATGCTATTGTTGTGAAGTTTTCATTTGTTTTTCGTTCCTGGGATTTTGCCCGTTTGAGTTGTGCCTCAAATTTGACACTTTGATTCTGTTCTCTGGTTCAAGCGGGATGCAATTCTGCGGAAGAAGCATAGTATACACGTTTCTGGGAGTAATGTCCCTTCACCCCTTCAAGACTTTGCAGAATTAAGAACTAGGTACGTTGCGGCATGTTTCTCTTCGTGGTTGTTTGCGATTTGAATATTCTTCTTATACATCTTTATGAAGCTTATGATTAGGTCAACAAATTTCTATCGGTAGCCATGCAAATAGTTAAGCGGGACTTTCTGATTTGTAATGGGGTTCTTAGGTTCTGATGGGTTAAACTGCATCATTTTCGCTCGTTTTATTTTTTTGCTTTTCCTGCACTTTGAGTATATTCTTGAAATTAATGTACGAAAGTTCAAGTACATTAACAATCATGGGAATTTTTCAGTAACACGTTCAAAGAAACACATATTGAAAGGCAGTTCTCCCTATTGCTCATTTTCCGGATTTATTTCAGGCTAATGGTTGTGTGATCAAGTGACTTTGATTGCAGTACTCCAGACTGATAATTGGATGTTTTTCATTAGGTTTAAATGCAAATCTTATTTGTTGCGGAACATAGCGGAGCTTGGATTTAAGGAGCCAACTCCTATTCAGAGGCAGGCTATTCCAGTTCTAGTATCTGTATGTCCTGGCATTGTTTTCAGATCCACGTCTCTCTTCTTCTTCTTCTTCATGTTCATTGGAATAATGTCTGAAGGTCACTAATTCCTATTCTGAAGTGTTTTTTTTTTTTAATTTTTTACATAATGTGGTCGTTGCCAGGGTCGGGAGTGTTTTGCTTGTGCGCCTACTGGTTCTGGGAAGACTCTGGCTTTTGTATGTCCCATGCTTATGAAGCTCAAGGTTGCATGTCATTCCCTCTACATCGTATTCCTTTGTTTTCCAGATAAACTACTGAAATTTTAGTTTTATGCTTAGCATGCATCCAAGGAAGGAATTCGTGCCGTTATCCTTTGTCCTACGAAGGAGTTAGCTGCCCAGACAACAAGGGAGTGCAGGAAATTGGCTAGAGGAAATAAATTTCGCATTAAATTGATGACTAAAGCTCTTGTGACAAATCCTGATTTATCCAAACTCCGGTGTGATATACTTATATCCACCCCCCTTCGCTTACGGCTGGCCATCAAGAAAAAAAAAATGAACCTGAGCAGGTACGCACTGCTGGAAACATCTCCGTTATGTGTGACTGTTCAATTTGTCGAAGACACCAAACATGTATTTTTGTTGCTAAACTCGATAAGAAAAAATATATTTGCAGCTAAATAATCAAATATTTTTTAGGAACATTTTGTGGCCATATATCAATGGCTTGACATATGTGTGCGGCAATTTTTCCAACAGGAGCGTGAATGATGTGTACATTATCGCCTATCAAAGTAGCTGAACGTTCAATTTTCTTCTCTTGGTTGAGCGTATATGGAGGAATTTAAGAGTCTGCAATAATCTTATTTGAAGCCATTAGAGTGTGTGTGTATCGAGGAAACAGTGTCGAATTGAGTGCCTTTTCTACTCGGTGGATATATTTTGGTAAAGATTGGTGTCAGATATCGATGGGGCTTAATTCTTGAAATATAAGTCTTTTACAACTTACACTGTCAAATTTCGGATGCAAGCCAAGTTCATAGGCATCTCTTATGACTGCACCTTTATAATCAAGTTAGGGAACCAAGTACCATACCTTCACATTGTCATGTAATGACTCACAAAATACAAATACGAGAACAATGCCACTCTAAAGTAAGAACTTCTTGCATGATTTTGGAAATTCTGAATCAACAAACTGGTAAACAAATGGGGGGATAATGTGTTCAAATTGTGACTATCACCAATTGTTTCCAGAGAAATTTACCATACATTGAATTGGATGCTCTCGTTTTATCTTTTTCTAAGGCCAGCTCTAGGACTTTGTCTTTTAAAGTATGCTAATTTCCTTGCACATGCTCCAATAATGTCATTGATATTTATACCTGAGTGTGGATGTTATTACAGGGTCGAGTATCTTGTCTTAGATGAATCTGATAAGCTGTTCGAACTTGGTCTGGTAAAGGAGATTGATTTTGTGGTCAAGGCATGCTCCAATCCTTCAATAGTACGGTCTCTATTCAGTGCTACCTTACCTGATTATGTGGAAGAGCTCGCCCGAACGATTATGCACGATGCAGTTCGAGTTATTGTCGGTAGGAAGTAAGTAGGAAATGCTTTTTCGGGGAGTTGGAAGTGCTTGACATTTCCCATCTTTTGACATGTTCCAATATATTGTGTACAGGAATACGGCTTCTGAATCGATTAAACAAAAATTGGTGTTTGCTGGAAGTGAAGAAGGGAAGCTTCTTGCACTGCGTCAGAGTTTTGCTGAGGTAGGTGTTATTTGAATGATATATGGTAAAAACTTTGTTGTTAAATTAGTGATCAAGCATGTGAGCGAGTGCTAAAAATCAGGTTCATCTTATTTCTGTTGTGGAGAAGGAGCAAAATACTCTCTCACCATAATTATGATGCTTGATGCGGGAAATGGTACCTTAAAAGCATCCTCCTTAGTGAGGTTTTAGGAAACTGATATGCAATATGAGAGATATTAAGATATTACATTCCTTTCCATCATCTTGCAAATTGTGGCTAGATCTGAAGCAGGTAATCATTAGAATCAACTATTTTTTGGGGGCTTTTGGTGGTGGCAACAAGCCAGTCAAATGTGGGTCATAATTGGATCAGAGAAAAGAAATAATCAAGGAGCTAAATTACAATGTGATCTCTTGTTTGTTTAGCCTGGTTTTTTTTTTTTAATTTATCACTATACCTTCTCAATGGTTCTTTTGTTTGATGTATTTGGTTTGTATGTATATGATATGTGTTTGCAGAGTTTGAATCCACCTGTTCTAATCTTCGTTCAAAGTAAAGAGAGGGCTAAAGAACTCTATGGGGAGCTAGCATTGGACAACATTCGAGCAAGTGTTATCCATTCTGATCTATCCCAAATACAGGTAATTTTATTCCATCTTCTCTTTTACTGATGATTATTCCACTATTTATCCCTCTATTGTTCAATTGTTCCCTCATATCTTAAGCAAGGGAAATTTAATACGGGTAAATCATTCTTGCCAGTTTATCAGAGTACAACTTTTAGAGTCGCTGATTCTGTGTTGCGACCCTCATATCTTAAGCAAGGGGAATTTAGTATGGATAAATCATTCTTGCCTGTTTATCAGACTCCAAATTTAGAGTCACTGATTCTGTGTTGCGACCGGCAAAAGAAAAAAAGGAATCCCTGTTGAAAGGGATGTTGGCAGAAAAAGATGGGGAAAAATAGGTACTATGGAAGTTTTTTTTTTTGCGTACTGATTGCGATGATGAGATGTGGCAGATAACCTGTCACTTGAAACATTTTTGCACTAGCTGAGTCAAATTCTTTTGGCAGTTGCATAATTGCTAGTGTATAAGCTGAAAATGGTAATGGGTGAATTAATCTTATACTTTGCTATTAATTGTCCAGGCATTGGATCTGTTTCCTCGCCATGTAAATTATATAGCAGCAAACCCCATGTTTTCGCATCTTCTGTTGATTTCAGAGCTAGAAGCGTTTTCAGAAATTTTGGTCTGCTTTATTTTTATTTTATTTTATCCCTGGGTTGCAGAGGGAAAATGCTGTTGATGATTTCAGAGCTGGAAAAACTTGGGTATTAATTGCCACAGATGTTATTGCAAGGGGTATGGATTTCAAAGGTGTCAATTTCGTCATCAATTATGATTTTCCTGATTCTGCAGCAGCATATATTCACAGGATAGGTATGCTTCTTCTATTGTATCTACTTCGTACTATTGACAGATGCCATAGTAGCATGGTAGTTGTCTACTTGGAAAGCAGCTGTCTTTTTTTTTGTACAGATATCTTGATGCGCTCCTTTTAGATCGACCAGCTGTATCTGATTTCATTGTTTCCATACATTTTGCTTTGCTTTGCTTCACTATTATATTCTTTATATGGCGGAACTAGTTGAGTTTTTAGAAGACATATGACTGGTGTTAGACAACACACAGGCGCGGTGACCTATTTTATATATATTTTTTCTCTTGTTGGTGTTTGAAATAGGTCGATCGGGCAGGGCAGGAAGGAGTGGAGAAGCCGTTACCTTTTACACCGAAGATGACATTCCGTATTTGCGGAACATCGCGAATGTCATGACAGCTTCAGGCTGCGAGGTACCTTCTTGGATAACGGCCTTGCCCAAAAAGAGGTGGAAGAAGCACAGGCCGAAAAGAGAATCGATTTCGACTAAACCAAAAGATGAGAGAGCATGAGAAATTCCATGGAGCTTCGATTATTCTACAAGGCTCACTGAGTTTTTTATTTTTTCCATTTATTTCTTTGGCCAGAGACCTTTGATTCTTCAATTTTGAAGCCGTGATACCATTTCCATTAAATTTGTGGTTGGCGGATCAAAGAAGGAATGCATTAAGCTGATCAGAAGTTTTGGGTTTTTCTGTCAACACATGAAATAGTCCGGAACCATTCTTTGCAATTCTTGTGACCAAGACATGTTACAGTTGCAGTTTTCAGGAACATTGTCTGAAAGATCTCTGACATGGTCCTACGAGTAACTGAGTTCCTCTTTTATAGTTGTAATACTATGTTTCAGAAATTTATCTAGCATAACAAGGAACATGTTGATCCACTGGGTGTCTTTGTTATATACATCATTACATTCCTGGCACGCAACTTTACTCATTCATAGGAAAATGGCACACTTCCTTCAGAGGGTATCTTTCAAAACTGCAACTGAACAACATGCATCTTCGTCACTTCTCACGGGAATTGACAAAGTGAATGATGTTAGTGGATTGTGGCACAAGGAGTTTACAACGAAACTGAATTAGGAAAATTACCTAATCAGTTCGAAACTTATTGAACGGATCTCGATTCCATTTTAAACTTTTCGATTTGCTATTCTAGTTCTAAACTTTTCGATTTACTAATCTAAACTTTTACCCGAAATTTCAATGTAGATGTTTTGGCCAAATTCGTTGGAAATGGCTGATGTGTGGCGGTCCAGTCACCATCAATCGTCCTATGCAGGACGTTACAACGTTAGCAATTTTAGGCGAAAATTGATTGGAAGGACTACGCTAGAATTTGATAAAAAGGTTTATCACTAAATTGACAAATTTCAAAAGTTTAGAATTGAATTAATATCCATGCAATAAATTTATGACTAATTAGACAATTTTTTCAAACTACACCATTATCGAGTATGTCAATAAGGCTTTTACAATAAAGTTGAACCATTTCCTAAGCACGTTATTTCTACAAATCGAACCTTACATCAACAAATCTCAACAGAGACCATAGGAATCGCATAACATGAGACGAAAGAAAAAAGACTCATATTTCTACAAGGTGATATTCCTATTGAAATTAGACGACACGACCACGCAACGTGCGACGCATGCAGTCTATGCTAATAGTTAAAGGTTCTCAACCATCGTGACCTGTACGTTATGGTTAAAACAGGTAAATATTGCCCTAACAGTCCAACATGGGAAGTAAGAATCAATTTGATTCCCACTACACTCAGAGAAATAAACCTTAGCAACCGACTTGGAATTGGGATTGTAAGAGACTCCCCAGACAGGAGAAACAAGATGAAAACAAACGACGACAACAAGAACAGCGATCTGATAAAAAAATGAATGCGAAATCACGGGAGGACCGTCCAGTGAATACATATCATACAAAAAAAGCAATATACATATCATACAAAATGGTCGGTCCTCTGACAGATATACAAGAGCCGGCAGCTACATGCGGTGTATTGAACTCTGCTCTCGTATAGGGTGAATAACCGTGTTCCCTCCGACAGAACCAAAAACCTGCACAATCTAAGCGAAGATCAACTTAGTAAACCATCTAAATCCGCACGCATCCAGCAATCTGAGCCTCTCGACATGCTAACGACTCATCAAAAGTTACTTCAGCTTCCTGATCCAGTGGCAATGGACACAGCAGCGGCTGTTTCATCACGACCAATGGTAATTCGAGCTCTCCAGGAAAAAGAACTATACTGCTAGCTTTAGGAATCTATTGCAGATTGCTGCTTATATAAAAAAGTCCGGTAACGGTGTAGACGTCGAAACCCCAGACGCAACTGGTTCCTGAGTATCTGGTGTCTTGGGGGCCACTTCCTTCTTTTCCTCCAACACTGCCGGCGGTTCTTGTTCCTCCACCTTCTGAGTATCTGACACAGGATCCGATGGCTCGGCCACCTTTTGTTCTGCTGCATCAGCATCAGAAGTTGTTGGAGCATGCTCACCTTCTCCTTGAGCAAGTGGGCCCGGGTCGCTGGCTGATGAAGATAGAGGAGGAGCTCCAGTATCCGTGGCAGGTTCGCTTGCTTCTACTTGCGGTGGAGCGCTCTCTGGTCTTGGGGGTGTCGCTGTAGGAGGTGCTTCTAATAGCATTGGCTTGGCAGGATCCGGCTGTGGAATTTGCGCAGCAGGAGGGGGTTTCTTCTTCATTGCCATTGTAGCCGAAAGAGAAGGCATTCCTGGGGGTAAGATTTCAATTGGCGGTTTCTTGCCAGCTTCTGCCAAACTGGTAAGCTTCGGTTCCTCCAAAGAAGCAAGAAACGCAGCTGCAGCATCTGTTTTAGTGGAAGGCGCATGCTCAACTTCCTTCTGTAACATTTTGTTCCACGCCTCGACCAAGTTCTTTAGAGTGGGTCTTCCATGAGCCTAGAAGTACATGCATTAGGAAAGTCAGGTCAGGATAAAATGAGAAATGATGAGGGAAGTGAAGTTGATTGACCCATACATGAGCATGAAGTACAGCCTCAGCAAGCATCCCAGTTTCCTGCCACGCCCTCTCCATGAGAGCATTGTCGCCCAAAACAGCTGCTGAAAAAGCTGCTTCACGTCCCGAGCCAACCGAGATCAAATTGTTAACCAGACCCTGTAATGATTGTTAGAGAGTTAGAAACTACTTGGGAGTTCACCAAACAACTTTTGGCAGTTGATTACTTCTGTGTGCTTAATGATATTTAAAGTCTCCAAATGATCCATTATTATTGGAATCCAAATTGAACAATATTGAAGATGAAAAACTCTTCTAGCATGGAACACATAGTAAATGTACTAGTGCTCATCACAGCTTAATTCGGTACTGGTGCTCAACACAGCATAAAAATTACCGAGCAATAGATGTATCCTTCTAAATAAATGCACAACCTGAGCAATTAGTATCAATGCATTTCATGACATAAGACAAAGTCACAGGAAGATAGCTGCATACATTAAGCCGCGTCAGTTCTCCATGATTAGCAAGTCGCAAAGCCAGTCCCCTCAGTTCATGACCCTGTAAAGCTCCTTTTACTGAACCGGCAGCGGCTAACCTTTTAAGAGCTTCCCGAGCAATGTCAGCTTGCCCAGTAGCATCCGCAGCATCGATAAGATCCAAAAATTCCTTAGCAAATTTAACAACTCCTTGCACAGCCTCTACAAGATTTTCTTTTTTAGTTGTTACGGTGAGGATATCTTTCAAATCAAACCCTACACTATCTTGGCCCAGCTCCCTACTGTTGCTCATTGTAAGAAGGCACTGGAGAGCTCTTTTCAAATCACTGCTTTGCATAGCCAAATCAAACTCCAACCTGGATAGTGTAGAAACACCAAAATGCTTAATACCTCACATTACATCCTAAAACCCAAACAAAAGCCAAACACCTTGTCATATGCTCAGACTAATGGATGCATCGTCAAGAATTACTGGAACATCATCATCGCTAGGACTTCTGTCCATAAATATTGTATAGAATACATGAGGACCTTCAAGCAGTGATGTAGCTGTAGATGCAAAATCATACCATTCTTTTGACTTTGGACAAATAAGTCTGAAGATTTGATAATCAGTCAAATAATATTGATTCAGTTTGGAAATTTTATATTTTGTGGTAACTCAGTATTGTCCCCCAAATTGTTTGTCCATGATTCAAATTGCTAGAAAATTTTCTACTTATAGGAATTGACATATAATCTGATCATTCATTGAGGCCAGTAGTTAGTGACTCTAAGAACTCTTCAATTAAAAAGTAATTTCAGAAATTAGTATGGTTCAATTAGGTCTAATCTACAGCAAAGCATTTTTTTTTTCTTTTTTCCCTGGTAAATTCCATTCCAGGTTTCAAAAATACAAAGGAGCAACCTCGCCGTCCCTTGTCAGCTATAGTGCAAGTTTACCTCTTAGATATTCCAGGCAAATGAAGAGCTTCTGTAGCATAGCCCATTCCAAGCATAAACTGGGCCAAATCATCATGATGTTCTCTAGCAAGCCTACTTGCCCTGCAGTTCCATCAGCAAAAGAGACACTGTTTACATGACAAAAGATTACACATAGGGACAAGGGGCACCAGTTCATGTAGGAAAGGAGCAACTACCATTTCACTGCACTAACTGCATCCCCATAAGCAGCAAGACACCGGCAACGAATACCTGGGTGACTCAAAGATAAGGCATGTGCACACATATACCTAGAAAGATCAATCAGGTTACAAAAAGATGCGTAGTTAGCTGCAGTGAAATTCATAGACAAACAGCCCAATGGTCTTAAAATTCTAATTTATGAGCACATAACCAACAACAGAAAGGGAAGAAGTATATAAGAGGCCAATCTCCGCTTCCTACTTCCAGCTTAACCAACTTCAGAAACGGCTGGGTAATTTAAACTTTCGTTATGGTCCTTTGGCTTTGGCTACTGTCTGTGACTTCGGTATTCAGTTTCCAGAAATGACAAGTTTGAAATTGCCCAATGATAACTTTCACTAAAGCTAGTACTTCAAGAGTGAAATAATGTATTTATGTTTCAACACATATAAAAATATGTCAGAAAATGTTATATATTTCATCCTCCATTACATACAAGTCAAATATGGTAAACTCTCATACCTACACTACAAGTTATAAAAGCTTGACATTAGTTAAAAGAATTACAACAGAACTTTGAGTAGCTCCTGATAGGAAATCTAATAATTGTACAAATGCTGACCAAGTTATTAATTCAGAACGACATTTTGTTTGTGCAAATTCGGATTGAGAGGATAGAAGTTCTTGAGCAAGATTTTTTTTTTTGGTCGAAAGTTCTTAAGCAAGATTGCACAGAGGAAAAAGTCCTTTGGTTCATTTTACTCTTAGTATGAAGACATACGAGAGCATCAATAACCTTTCAGGAAGTAACTAAAAGATACATCTGAGAAAACCTCTAATTTATCTCATTTCAGAAGCATTGGAGGCCTGTTACCTATCAATTAGCCAAAGAACACCATCCCTAACACCAACCACTAATAAAGGTCCAATAGGTCGTTTTTGCTCCACTGGAAAACGAGTAACTGCTACTGAGACACCACCACCCCCAACAGCAACCTCATTAACTTTTCTTTCTTCAAACTCCTTCAGCACTGCTATGTCATCACCATCAACTTTGGATTGCTTCGGCAAACTCACAAATGGAGGAACAGAAGGAGCATGCTGGAAAGATGCTAGACGAACAACCTGAATATAGAAAGATGGACTGTTACTACACTTCAAAGAAAGGACGAGACAGTCTCAAAAAAATAAGGTTGATAATGACTAAGATTAAGATGGTAGATTCTCCTAATTGAGAGTCCAGTGCCAAAACAAGTCAAAAGGACCGAGTTATTGAAGTGGCATTGGAATATCGCCACATAGGTCAGCAACTTCTATTTGGCTAAATGTACTTCAAAATTCCTCCAACTCATTAACACATATTAAAGCAGAAAGCTGCTTCACGTGTGCAATCAATACTTAAAAGCAAAGCCTTCACAATTCAATAGGCTGATCATAGGCCCAAAAAAACTTGACTATAGCACAAGAAAAAGAAATCTTAGCGAGTAACATTTCAGGTTATTATATTCTTTCTGCCAGCTTATATTAGAATTGATGGCATTATTATAAGCACAATTAAATCCAGTAACATTTCAGTAACATGATGACATCATACAGAATGCTGAAATTGCTTAACCTGCAGCATTGGCGGCCTTAGTTTGATTCTCTCTTGTGAGGACGCTTGCGGACCTTCGACTGTAATTAGAGCTAACTCTCCATGCTCTGCAACTGCCCGTGCTTGCACCTCTCTCAGTTTCATTTCTTCTTTCATCTTTCTTGTTTCTATATCTATTGGTGCCACTCCAGCATCGACAAAGACACATCTGGGGTGACACAAGCACAATATTAGATAATCTAGGAATCAAACAAAATTAGAAGCTTAGTATATTATCCTAGTAGCAAACCAAAGAGTACATGACAAAGAGCCGAGATACAAAAATGAATTTCAAAGGTAACTAATTATTTAGAGAAGGGAATTATAAAAAAAGAGACATTTAGTTGAGCGTACACACTTCTCAAGGTACACAACCAAGCAACCAAAGGAGAAAAAATAAATCAAGATAGATTATCAGACAATGAATGCATCTTACTCGATGGTAGTAGGTGTAACCACAAACAGCTGTCTTCGATGCCAAACAGCACCAGTAGCATAGGGAATTGCAACATCTCCTAAATATCTATACTGCGGTCGCAAAGAAGATATTACTATATAATGATGATATGCAAACGCGCAGTACTCAACAGTTTGGTCCCATGCAGTCCATTCTGGCTGAGGAAGAAGACCACCAACAGGTTCAAAACTCTCCCAGCTGCCATAAAAAAGGTTCAAATAAGCACTGACTATAAATGAAGAAAGAAGAATATTATCGGAAGATGAAACCAATGTCACCAGAAAATAAAGATGGAAACCAACTTACACCAACGAATTGCGGGAAGACAAAAGATAAAGCTATATTAACTACTGCAACTAGCACTGCAACTCCAATAAATTCAAGCAATTCTTACATCCACCCGAACCATGTGAGCCCTGTGCATGTCAGTCATCAGATCATACGAGTTTTACTTAATCTGACGGTTCACATGCATTGGGTCACATGGAGTCAAACGCATACAGCAATTTTTCCGAGACATATCCCAGGAGAATGAGAGGTAGAATCCAAAATGCTGTGATGTCTTCTTACTTCTCAGTTCATCCTAAATATATTTTGCATGTATTATGTTTCATAGTGTGTTGGATACAGTTCGTAATTATCGTAAATAATAGTGAGCAAGCACTCTATGCTCAGCAATATCCAAATACTGATGATCCAAAATACTGGCAATTAAATGTCATTTTGGTAATACTAGGTAAGAAAATAATTGCTGCTGACCTATAGAGCTGAAAATTTGGCAGTGCTGCCTCAGCAGAAGATTTATGAGATAAATTATCATCCAAAGCAGTGAAGGAAGAAAGGCCACTATTGCCATATCCTGATAAGGGCATAGACTGAATTGTTGATATAGCAGTTGCAGCAACAGGGCTGATCCTTCGCGACATCCGATAAGCTACACCAAGAAGTGCTCCACCATGCAAGCCAATAGCCTACAAGAGATGATTTTCAGTCAAAATTACCATGCAAAAGAAATGAAAATCCATAAAATACAAGGAATTTGCTAGGAGGACAATGAACAAGTGTAAACCACATAAAAAAGCAAGTTCCTTTCTATACCAGTCAACAATGAAGCCGCATAACCCTCTTAATACATGAAAAAGAAAATTAGCTTAAGCAATTATCAGTTAATGATCTTTTTAAACAAAATCATCTCTTAATTATATCAAAATGTACGTTTCTTCACAATGAAGGCTCTTGCAGATGAAATGTACCGCAATAATTAGACCATTGGGTCATCAAAGCATGATGAATAATAATGCTAATGGTCAGAAGAACTGTACATTGTCCAACCAACTTGTGGCAATGGTAAAATGTGGGGAGCATCCCTAGATTGAGACTTTCACTTGAATCTTTCCCAGCACTTCCTCACTTTGTGAACTTTGAACGAGTATTCTAGAGGTGTGTAATTCACAAGTTAATTTTGTATCTGTTGGTGATTAGGACTGCCTTAAATAGAACACAGCGTACCCGTTTTCTGACATATTCTAATTATGTCATGAGAAGTACGTCTACTAAAATTGCTCAGTTTAAAAGCAAACCAAGTCATTGACCCCTATTAATGCATGATCCCTGTTCGGTTGAGGCAAAGACTTGCAAAGAGAAAAAAGATTAAATGGCATGCACAAAAAAGCACACTAGATAGCTAAACAACTAAGTACCGGTTCACTGCGACTGCCTATGGATTTCATTAATATATTTGATGTTCCATCATCCAGCAGGATACGAACTTGAACACCGGCCGCAGAAGCAGCAGATGCAGCGGCTGCTGCAGCTTGTGCTGCTGCTGCAGCTGCCTCTTTTGCTTTCCTTGAGGAACCACCTTTGGAAACTACGGGAATTCTTGGGGCAGGTGCAGATTCTAATATTGCAAATCTATCACGACAAGTATCCCATGCCAGAAGTCTTGCTGTACCGGAGTCGACGATAGACCAGTCACCAACTTTATAAATAGAAAAATAAGGAATATCTGGCCACACAATAGAAAGATACCTGCACCCAAATCCAGTAGGAAGCGAGAAGCTACAGTCAGTCAAGTACACAGAAGAAACAATCACATGCAAGAATATTAAGTAATCTGCAGTTGACAGTCCATGTTAATGAAAATTAACAATATACAGGCAAGTATCTGTTTGTAATTAGAGTTACACTGTACATACTGAACAATGTATTCATTCACTTTGTGTGCAGTCGCCAGAAAAAAAAATACAAAATAGGTTGCATGTTGCAGTCCATCTATAACATAGGAAATTTAAAATTAGGCAAAACTTACTTCCCAGAACTGCTGACAGAAAGAATTGAATACGAATCATTTGGAACTGCAGTACTAATGTGCTTCTTAATCTGCTTGACATGTAACAACTCTGATGACTCTCCCTTCAACCTTCCCGCTTCAGATAACGAGGCATTGTTCCCAAGCGATGGATTTCCAGTGGGTGATAACTGGAAGTTTAGTAGCTTCAGCTCCCTCTCAACTACGTAGACTGCTGAATGCTCCCTGCTTTCCGAAGGAGTTGGAAGTGGAGCTATAGGTGGAAGGGCCCTGGCATCAAACTCACACATAATCACACCAACATTGGTTCCGGTAGCAACAAGGTGAGGTTGTAATGGATGTGCAACCATGCAATATACCTGCAATAGCAACTTCTAAGGATCAGAGCTATACAATCCAAAAGAAGATATCAGTACCAAAAACTATGTGATGCCCTAAAAAGAATTCCTTTCCAGAAATACCCAAAATAATTAATCACTTTCTCCACTATTCCTCCCCCTCTCTAAACAACCATCCTAAATCAGCACATAAATACATAAACCACTTTAAAGCCCTCATAGATTTTTCTTTCTAAGATCTTAGTAACAATTTGTGCATTATGATAAAGAAAAAGTATAGTATATTTCAATGTTTTCTGGAAAACTCTCCTTTCAACTTCAGGACAAGAGGAGACAGAACATAAAAATGAGCTAGGCTTCCCATAATTACAGAGTATGGGTCTAGACCGATGTTCTTAATTTTCACAAGGAAAATCATTACTCATTAAACATTTGATTTACGCCTCAGGCAAGTTAAATGGAAGTGTATAACAGATATTTAAATTAAGTGCATCTACTCCAAGAAATTATCGCATAAAGGTTGAGACATTTCCTCTTATGAGTTTACGCTTAACCCACAGATAGATTAAGTAGGTAGAGGGAAAGGATCGACTATTCAGTACGTACTCTAAGTTTCTTGTTCGGCGCAAGTATTTGTGGTGGAACAAGTGAGGAAAGCTCACACAAGGGCCTTGTTAGAGCTGAATATGTGGGGTGCTCAATGGCCCTGCAAAAGACGATAATGGAATTACTCTACCAAGTTAGTAGAATAAAGCATGTTTCATCTAATTATTTTCATTTACCAAGAAACCCATACACATAGAACAAACTCAGTTCTAGACATATTGTAATACTTATTTTGCAAAGGAAAAGCTCACAACACCATCTAGCCGAAAACCAACCAAAGTCATCAAGAAAAAGAGATATGCTTACCATATGTGGGAATCTTTTACACAAGTCAATATATCAAGGTTTGGAGCCCGAGGATGGCACCAAGATGCAACACTGTGGCAAGCAAGTTTAGACACGGGTTTAATTCTTCGCAACTCCTAAAAAAGGGATGAGCTAAGAGTTGTCAATGTTATAAAGCACCAAACAAAGAAATTTACAACCATTACCGTAAATAAAGAGATCAAATTCCACACCTTGAAAGACATTGTGTCCCATATAGCTAGTGTTTTGTCTGCACCAATTGTTATAAGCTGCGGAGGTGCTCCACTCACTCTAGAAAGTTCAACAGCCACAACCCCACCATCATGTGCCTGAAAACGGAATCAATTAGTCTCTGATTCAACCTACCAATACCGGCATCGCAAAATTTAAATGGGTTTTCAATGAGGACTAAACTTCCATTGAGCATTAACAGGAGGAAAAAAGATGTGGAAAGCAAAGCTGACAATAGACAATAGATACCATCAAGAGCAAACAAATGATAAAACAATACCAGTTTCGTTTTTTTTGCAACAAAATTGTCAAGAAAATAATATTCAGGTGGCAGTTTCGTGAAGTAAAGTCAGTAACAGGATTTGCACCATCCATGACTTGTTCCCTCTAAAGTGTTGACGGTGTTGCATGTTCTTCACTTAATCAGCAAAGTTCAGTAAATTAAATTAATGCATCAAAACTGGTATTGGTTCATTTATAAGAAGAGGAACTGAAAGATCATAATAAGAATAAGGAGAGCAGGGGAAAATAGTACTTTCAAGCTCAGCTTGGGTACTAGTTCTCGAGAATCTTGACCATGGTCTGCACTCCAGAGAACAAGCAAACCATCACTGGCACCGGACACCAGAAGTGCCTACATAAATACATGAAGTAACCATTAGAAAGCATACAAGTTGGATGACGAGAAACCATGTATGAGCTACTGCGGGTCAACTTGTTTGACTGCACCAGCAGTAAAAGGTAAGATAAACAAAATTGCAACTAGAACCAGTTGCAGTAAAACAATGTCAGAAACTAATCATCCAGAGCACATGTTAAAATTGATAAGCAAGTTTCATTAGATAAACTGCTGAAAGTCTGCATACATTTTATGAATGCATATATCAAGCAGAACCAATAATCTAAGAGCAAGACAAGATTTGCAAATAGTTCAACAACTCAATGGATTAAGATGACTATAGGATAACAAGTATAACAAAAGGATATGTAATTACTAAAACAACAAATGTAGATTTTGTAACTGAACCCTGTCCAATAAAATTGCACATCAGTTGCTTTTATAACAGAGGATAAACTTGAATTTGGATCACAGTCACCATTGCGAACCGCTTACAATAAAAGAATCAACAACCTCTACTAGTGTTGAAGGAGTTGCATAAGTTGAAATCCAACAAAGAATTGACCACGTCAGAAGCTGTCACTTTTCTCCTTCAACAGCTTGCCTCAACAACTCATACCACCTTCACAACCTAGATTTTAGACATGCTGGTTCACTATGCTGTTCCAGCAAAGGTAACAGTATCAAGTAGAGCATTTTAGGCGAGATACCCTAACCTTATAAGTTAGTACTCACACCTCACAATATCCATATGTTTAGAAGTAGAAACTCGTTCCATCAAATTGTGCATAACATAAGCATTCACAACGAAGTAAAAAACAATGAAAGCTCAATAAAACTGAGTTATGAATATATACCTCACCAGAAGAAGCCATGAAGGTCATTAGACAAGAAATCGATCCTTTATGCCCACCTGTGTATCTCCTTACAAGCTGCAGATAATTTATTATCCTCAAAATGCATGTTCAGCACCAACATTCAGACCACAAAATTGACAAAGGCCAAACCTTCCATGTTATCATTGAAAGTACTCTAATGACACCATCAGATCCACCAAAAGCAACAAGTGGACCATCTCCAGCTGCAGATCTGGCCAGGAACTCCATACTGCATCAAGAAAAAAAAAGCAACAGAGATACCAGCACATACATATCAGCATTAAAAAGATGAAGAACAGCCACCAGACAGTAATCCATTAGTAAGAAAAGAAAGAAAAACAGTATAAGTAACTTGTGTTGTGAATGCAATTTCCAATGACCTATACAGACATTAATTCTTGCCCTCTGAGTATTAGAAGATATGAAACTGATTGGAGCCTAAAAAGGAATGATAAAAATAACGATATGAATATATCACTGCAAACAAATGATGATTGACATCAGTATGAAGATGTCATCTGAGACTTCCGTAAGGAAATTTGACAAAACAAGTTGCCGCGACTAACAGCTCAACACCTACAATTATCTTTTGGAAACCTGACCGGTCACCAAATTAAGCAAACCCAAGCCTGGAAGGCCTCTATTTTCTGGCCAAACTCAATCATGAACAGGGTTATCTAAGCTGGATCGTCATTGATAACAAAACCAGTTGTATCTAAAGTACAAAATATGCACCTGCATGACCAATGAGTTGAGCCAAGGACCTTACAACAGAGAGAAAGTTCCTTGACTAACCAACTATAGAGCCTTTTGTAGTTACAATTCATCAACTATTATCCATGTTGGATTATCATTTCATCGAATTGAGTTCAAGAATAGAATTTACTAATCAACGTTTTATATTTAAAAATGGTTCTGTTCCTACCACAGTGACCTTACTCCTCAAGCTTGACAACTAGTTAATATACTAAAAAGAACCAGAATTAATTAACTAAGTTTACTATGCTGACTCAGTCTGAAAAGAAACATAACTTACTGAAGAGAAAGATTGGGGCACGTCCAGTAGTGTACAATTAATTGGTCAAATTCAAGGCACTCAAAATATTAGTTTACTCAAATACCAAAAAACAAAAATTAAAAAGTGGCTCTCAAACTATAATATTGTCACATTAAGCAACGAACTGTCATTAAATGGAAATTAGGCTATGTCCAAGAGTAAGGACTTGCCAGAGTAGTGATCTGTTGTCAAGTTCTTGCTTGGGTACATCTCTGCCTCGCATTGTCACCAAGTCCAGAAAAATAGCTTTGTTTTCACAACAAATGACAAGAAAATGGCGCCCTTTCGTTGATGGCGCTGGAGAAGTAAATGCCGCAGTGACATTGCTAACAGCTGACGGAGCCTCTGCAGCAGCAGATCGATTACGCCACAGCTGCCAATAGCGTACATCATCATCGTAAAAGTTCACCTGCTTAACACTTAAGTAACAATGTGCAGAATAGTTCAGTTCCTGAACTTTATGGATCGGAAACCAGTAAACAAAGGAAACAGAAATTCATATACAAAGAGCAATTACCTTCCTCCCCGAATGGCCTCAGTTGGTTTACCCTTAGAATCTACAAGAACCCAACAAAAGGAAATCATTAATGCAGAAGTTCACTCACAAAATAAACTCCGAAAGTGTCCGGATAATGAAAAAAGTTGCGCTTGCATGCTTTAAGTTAAGTTCCTCTCATGAGTACACGAGCTTTAGTCGCAATCAATGTTCAATGCTTCAACGTTTCAATAGATGTGGCTACAAAAAATAATGGTCGCGGACTTAAATCAATTCATCAAAATCAATTGCAGATTCATTCGATCAGACAATTCCCGCTGCCACTAAGCTGCGGCGATTCCGCGAGCAGCATCCAAATAAATTGCCTACACAACCAATGCCATCCGCCGCGAACTAAAACGGGCTTTCATCAACACTCACTTATACCTTCTTTTTCATCAGAATCTAATCAAAGCTCTATGCATACCCGATTCTCCTTCGGCGAGCTTCTCCAACTTCGCACCAACCAGGCGCCTCTCGTCGACCCCGCCGGCCTTCAGCTCGTAAATCACCTAAAGAACCAGAAGAACCCCGCGATCACCATCGCATCGCACGCGGCAAAACACGAGGGGGGGAAACGCGCAGCCGAACTGCGACTACCTGACGGTGCTCCCAATTCCAAACGGAGACGAAGTCCGACGCGTCCGCGGTGACCAGCCAGGGATGCGTGGGGTGCAGCTGAATCTTCACTATCTTGTCGCCGCTCGGCCGAAACGCCCTCAGCCGCAGCATTTCGGGATCGGAGACGGAGCCGAAACGGGGGTTTCGATCCAGCAATGGGAACTGGAGACGAATCTGGAGCAAGGAAACGAGCGATCTAGAAGCGAAATCGAGAGGTCGCCGGATCTGGCGTCGATGGCGATGGCTTCTTCTTCTTCTTCTTCTTCGTTGAATGGGGAATGTGTATGCTCTGCGATTTGCGAAGCGACCTCTTCTGCGCTGCGACGATCACTGCGAATCCTCGAAGTCGTCTTCCTCGCTGCAACTTCTTCCGATCTGCAGCTCGAAGCTTTTGAAGAGGAGCCCATTGGGCCTACGGTTTCTTAGTTCTGGTTTTTCTCATGGATTGGGCTGAGGTGAGCGAATCAGATGGGCCGAACGGTTTATTATTGGTTTTTTGGGAGTCTCTGAACTTTGGAACGATGTACAATTTAATCTCTGAACTTTTTATTTATTCAATGCAGTCTCTAAACTTTAACCCGATGTGCAATGTGGTGCCTGAAGTTTTAAGTTCTACATTGGATAATTTCATATAGTTTAGGGACTGCATTGAACATGTACCAAAAGTTCAGGGACCAAATTGAACATAATTCAAATTTCAGGGACTGCATTGAACATTACGCTAAAGTTCAGGGGCTGCATTGAACAAATTACTCGAGATTCAAGTTTTAGATGGCTATTACTCTATGAATGTTGAGATTAGCTTTAGAAATTAAAGTGACAAAAAAAGGTTATAGAATACTTTGATCTCTTTACTGACTCAAGCTTGAAGCCTCTTGACGCCTCGAACAGAGCATTCTCAGCGCTTCCTAACATGTAGCTTGGTTCGCCAAAGTCGTTGCACAACCAGCACAATAGAAAGATCGATCTGATTTCCATATGAGGCAATCAGAGCAGCACCAACTGTATCAGCTCAGCTTTTCAATCCATTACTAGGACTAAGTTGAGGAAATCGACATAACGAAAACGTGAAGAAGGGGGGGTGTTAAGGTGGCAAATTGGACAGAGCTCACAGTCCTTGACCATGAAGTCTCTTTGGCCCGAGTTCTTGCGCACCACAAGCAAGGAACGGCTTAAGGCGTCCGGGTTTGAATTCGTCGTGTCAATATCTGCGCCTGTTGGCATCATGGGGGGGCTTGAAACTGGGAAATGATTCCTCTGGATAAAGTATGTGCCACCTGCGCGAGATGATGCCATTGGCAAGGGATCGGAGGAACTCTGTTTTCTGAATCATGAAAATCAAAGGCCTAATCTACAAGATGTTCTTTAAATGAGTGCTGAAAGTTCATTGGCAAGAATATGCATCGTTAGTTTATACACAGAAAGTATATTTACTAATTGCTTATTCCTGGTATAGCATCACATTTCGAGGCTGAAGTATGCACGCAGGGAAGCAATATGTCACATACTTTAAAGTGAGAAAGAACCTCATTGATTAATGTTGGACAGTCACAAATGATCTAAAATAAAGATGACCAAGTGACAGTAACTTATGATTACGAGTGGACATGCTCATCGCTCGATCGCTTGGAACGAATCGAATCGACATCGTCTAGGGATCCTTCACTGTTGTCTCGCTTTAAGGAGAGGGTATTGCCTCTTGATATACCGTGGCTGGGGCCGTTGTGCTGCTGATAGAAGCTCCTCCCGTTGAACCCACCCGGTGTCATCGTCACCCACAGAAGCAGCATGAACTAGTGACCCTGTTTTGCTGTATCTGCTGCTTCCTTTTGGACTCGAAAAATCGAGTCTGTAGCTCCCCTCCCGTGAACCACTCGTGTCACCGTCCCCCAAAGAGGCGGCATGACCTAGTGACCTGTTTTGTTGCATCTGCCGCTTCTTTTTGGACTCAAAAGATTGATTCCGTCAAACAATCTCTCGCTGCTCTTATCGCTCAAGGAATATTTTCCGCTGTCTTTGGTCATCTCGTGGAACGAAGACACGTTTCCCATTAGACAAACTTGCGCTCATCTTGTGTGAATAATAAATGCTTCCATCATGCAAGAACCAACTGCTTCTGTCCCTCAAGGTAACACTTCCATCCCTCGACATGCTACTCTTGCTTCTCGAACCCGGATCAGATCCCTTATCGTTGCCTTTCTATCCTCATCCTTCCCTCCTGTATCCCGGTCGTGTTTGTGACCTTCATCGACCTCTATGTCCTGCTGATTTGTGCTGTCTTCATCACCGTGATTCTGATGTTCCCTAAAAGTATTGTGTCATATTTTTCTTCATCACTTTCGCTTTTATTTGCTTCCTGGGAATGTTTGTTGGGCTCCGGAGGAGGAACAGCCACGGTGTCAGATGGAGCCACTAAAAGTAAGCTTGAAGTAGTAACAACGTCGCTCATTAGTGGGCGGACCAAGGGTTCTTCTTGCGGACACATGGCTGCTATTGCAACAGCTTGAGTAATGGATCAGCCACGTCTGGAAACGATCTCAGGTCCCTGAATTTAGGCTGAGCCTGTACGCAAATGGAATCCCTGTACAAGTCAGCGAGGATGATGACTAAAACATAGATGACATTGACTATCATTGGACGTAAAATTACCCAAGCAACTAGATTTTGCTCATCAGTGGGTTTGTCATGTCAATTGCTCTCCGTCCGGTATGAGTTCTAGGAGGACGACTCTGAAGCTAAACACGTCGGACTTCAGTGTAAGTTCGCCCGTTCTTGCATATTCTGGAACACAGTAGCCATAAGTACCCAATCCCTGGATGAGACGTGCATCTTGTCTCCAGCAGGCCGAGCTTGGCCAGTCCAAAGTCTGATACTTTCGGACTGAAATACTTGTCCAGCAAGATGTTCGAGGACTTCAAATCACAATATATAACAGGTGGATTGGCCTTATCATGCAAATATTTGAGACCCTGTGCATCACCAAATCCTATTTTCATTCTGGTAAGCCAATCCAGAGGTTTCTACTGCGGTCCAATGTCTGCAGTACAAACTACGACGCAAGTTGGTAATGATTTGTAGCATAGAAGCTAGATGAAATGTCTCCTGTTCTACGTTATCAGCACACTTATTCAGCGACTCTAAATCAAATTCAGACTGGTAGAGGTATCGAACAATTGATCTTCTTCAGAACCTCCGGGCATGTATTCAGACACGAGAAGTCTTTGATCTCCGTCAGCACAATACCCCATGAGATCAACAAGATTTTCGTGGTGCGAGAGACTCAACATGAGGACTTTGACAAGGAGCTCCTTGTTTCCTTGTAGTCCATGCCTGTCGAGTTGCTTGATGGCAACCACCTAACGAACAAGGAAAGCACGGTTTCTTAAACTTCACATTTTTCCAAGACAAAGGAGAGGGAGAGTGAGTCGAAGCCTCTCTGTCACCTGCCCGGTCCCCTGGATGGTTCCTTTGTATACTCGACCAAATCCACCTTTTCCCAATAAGCACTCCTGTTGGATATTCTTTGTGGCAGAGGCTAACTCGTGGAAAGTGAAATTCTAGGCCATGATATTTCCATGCTCTTCTTCCTCCTCATTGATTTGGCTTCCTCTCCGGGCTTTGGCTTCTTGATTCCAGCGACTAATACAACAAGGAAAAGGAGGAAAGTTTTATTTTCAAACAGTACCTCAAAGACACTGTTACATGGTCTTCACTTTATCAGCAAAATTTAGTTATGTAAATCAATGCATCAAACCCGGTATTGGTCATTTATAAGAAGAGGAACTGAAAGATCACAATAAGAATAAGGAGAGCATAGGGGAAAACAGCACTTTCAAGCTCATCTTGGGTACTAGTTCTCGAGAATCTTGACCATGGTCTGCACTCCAGAGAACAAGCAAACCATCACTGGCACCGGACACCAGAAGTGCCTACAATAAATACATGAAGTAACCATTAGGAAGCCTACAAGTTGGACGACGAAGAAACCATGTATGAGCTACTGTGGATCAACTTGCTTGACTGCACCAGCAATAAAAGGCAAGACAAACAAACTTGACAACTAGAACCAGTTGCACTGAAATGATGTCAGAAACTTATCCTCCAGAGCACACGTTAAAATTGATAAAGCTAGTTTCATTAGGTAAACTGCTGGAAGTCAGCGTACATTTTGTGAATGCATATATCAAGGAGAACCAATAACCTAAGAGTAAGACAAGATTTGCAAATAGATCAACAACTCAATGGATTAAGATGACTATAGGATGACAAGTATAACAAAAGGATATGTACTTACTACAATAATGAAAGTAGATTTTGTAACTGAACCCTTTCCAATAAAATTGCACATCATTTGCTTTGATAACGAAGAAAAACTTGAATTTGGATCACCATCACCATTGCTAACTGCTTACAGGAAAAGAATCAACAACCGCTGCTAGTGTCGAAGGAGTTGCCTAAGTTAAAATCCAACAACGAATTGACCACGTCAGAAGCTGTCACTTTTCTCCTTCAACAGCCAGCCTCAACAACTCATGCCATCTTTCACTGAATGTACAAAAGTTCACATAGTGACAACCTTTCCCATAAGTCCCACTTTTAGTTCCATCTTCACAGTCTTCTCATCTTCTTGAATTATGGTCGAAACACATTGTGCCACATCCGAAATTTTAGACTTGCTGGTTCACTATGATGTTCCAGCGAAGGTCACAGTCACAAGTAGAGAATTTTAGGCCAGATAAACTGACATTATAAGTTTATACTCACACCTAACAATATCCAAATGTTTAGATGTAGAAACTCATTCCGTCAATTTGTGCATAACAAATGCATTCACAACCAAATAACAAAACAATGAAAGCTAAATAAAACAATGAAAGTTATGAATATATACCTCACCAGAAGAAGCCACTGATCTGCCAAAAGCAACAAGTGGACCATCTCCAGCTGCAGATCTGGCCAGGAACTCCATACCGCGTCAAGAAAAAAAAGCAACAGAGATTCCAGCACATATTAGCATTAAAAGAACAGCCAGCGGACGGTAATCCATTAGTGAGAAAAGAAAGAAAAACAGTGTAAGAGATGATCTAGTAACTTGTGTTGTAAACCGCATTGATCACTGCGAATCAAAAAGTTATCTTCGTCGCTGCAGCTTAATCTTTGAAAATGAGCCCATTGGCGAACGTGCCTACTACCTACAGTTTCTTAGTTTTGCTTTGCTCACCGATTTTACGGCTCCATCTTCTTCTACTTCTTCATATTTCTAACAGCGAAAGAACAGTGAACTGAACGAAAGGAATGTTCATATTCTCACACACAGAGAGACAGGAAGAAGAAGATGCAGAAGCTCATCCACATTTACACAATTCGTCATAGAACAAAAAATCGAATTTTTATTGATTAATCCTATCTCAACTCAAGAATTGAACATACCCTAATTTCTACCCTGTTCATCCTCACGTATACAAAAATCTAACAAAGATGAAGAATCCGAGACATAAAACGCTCGGGACACTGCTGTACAAAGAATGGAGAAAGACGTGTCTTTGTATTCACAGACGGACGTCCAACTCTTCAAGTGCCGCAAAATCATGGAGATCATATCCATTCACTCTCGAGCTTCAGCCACCGACTGCCGAGTCCTCCGGCGAAGTCAAGAAACCACCGCCGTGGCCATCGAAGTCCTCGAAGAGATTGAGAGAGTCCTCCGGATCAAACCCATAATCCCCAAGATCGGAGGGTGCGGGAGTGGGCTCCATTGCCAAACTTCCATCGCCGGCGGCTGAGTCCTCTGGCGAAGTCAAGAAACCATCGCCGCGGCCATCGAAGTCCTCGAAGAGATTGAGAAAGTCCTCCGGATCAAACCCATAATCCCCAAGATCGGAGGGCGCGGGAGTGGGCTCCACTGCCAAACTTCCATCGCCGGCGGCCAAGTCCTCCGGCGAAGTCAAGAATCCATCGCCGTGGCCGTCGAAGTCCTCCAAGAGATTGAGAAAGTCATCCGGATCAAACCCATAATCCCCAAGATCAGAGGGCGTGGGGGTGGGCTCCACTGCCAAACTTCCGTCGCCGGCGGCCGGGTCCTCCGGCGAAGTCGAGAAACCATCGCCTTCCGTCAAGAGAGCCGCAAGCGCTGGGATTTGACCTTTGAGACTCTCGAATATCGAATCTATCTCCTCGTCGCTCAATTCGTGCGAATCGGCCGCGCCGACCTTGACTCGCGAATCATCCTCCAGCGCCTTCAGCTTTTCGCGCGCACAGTCGCGGACGGCTTCGTATTTCATAATCAGGGACTCGAGGTCCTCCTCGGTCGCGCAAGCGTCCCACTCCGTTTGGACCCATTCCGCCCACTGGGTCAGACCCATTGGCGGCATCACCTCGCCGTCGTCGCCGCCGCCGCCGCCGCCGCCTCGGAGGTAGTCGGATATAATTTGATCGGCCGATGGGTCGCCGAAAGAGCAGGGTTTGCCGGCGGGGGAGAAGACGACCACCGCGGCGCGGGCGCCGCAGAGGCGGCAGAGATCCGACGCCTTGTTGAAGAGCCCCTTGCGCCTCTTCGAATAGGTGACGAGCCGGGCAGCCGGGTCGGCGATCCTGGCTATTTCGGTTCGCCGGCGCTTCGCCATCAAGGACGCCGACAACGACCGGAATTCGCAACTATCCGTCAAAGGGTCTCTTGGGTTTCTTGGAGAGAGGGAGGGGGAGAGAATGCGGGGGCGAACGAGCTCGCAGGCTTCTGGGTTTCTCGGAGAGACACAGAGAGAGAGAATGAAGAAGAGGGTTTGCAGAAGGAGGAGGGGTTCGCAGACGGAGGAGGGAGGAATATATCTTCTGGCCAATACGCGGTTCTTGCAATTTGAAAGGGAGGGACGAGGCGGCAAAGGGAAGCTCCGGGCAACCGGCTGCTCCGGCGAACGCCACCTCCGTCTCCGTTCAACGGCTATGTCCATCGTGGAAGAGAGAGAGAGAGAGAGAGAGAGAGAGAGAGAGATGACGGAGGTGTCTCCGATCTGTGCCGTTCATTTAAGACAGGAATTTTGGTTTAGCTTCCCTCGGTCGTTTTTTCCCGTAAAAAAATATTTAAAATAATTCCCCCAATTTTTTTAGAAGGAAATTAAAGCTAGTTAAAAAAAAAGTAGAAAAAAATTATCTGTAACTTGAGGGTTCTTAAATAAAATATTAAAGTGTAGGGATGAAATTGCAAAATATATATTGAAATATATTCAAATGGCTGGAAAAATAAATGATTTGAAAAATGTTTTCCTCAAATCAATATTGTGCAGCTAAAAAATTAGACGAATGCAGAAAATTTCATTATCAATGCTTTTTTTTCCTCATAGTTTTGTTGTGATTAATGAAAACATATTTGTTGACCAATTTTTCTAAGCAATACAAAAGTTTAGATTTATTAATATATTTTTTAAATTATTCATTTTTCATCATAGAAACACGTGTTCAGTTTATAATCCCAAAAGAATGATGATATATAGTAAAATATCCTTATATCCCATTGCTCCACCACATGGAAAAATTGTCGATTCATCGTCACGTTATAGCTCTGTTTCTTTCTTTGAGTATATATTATTTTCCAAATGAAACGATTGAACCCAAGAAGGATATTACTTGTAATTTTCGCGGCCTAATGGTTTTTATGCTCATAAATCTCTAGCTCTACCGGGCATTAATCTAGTTGTAAAGGAATCATCGATTTTCCATCAGAGTATAAGTTCGATTCTCATTTGTAAGTAGAAACTATGAAAGGTCTGTGTTGCGTTGTCTGTTCCTCTTGCAGTGATTTTATAGCTATTAGCATCTTGTTGGGGCCATAGCAACGACGTCACCAACCTCAGACATTCAGGTGACTATTAATGCAAACAACTACGACGCTTGTATGCTTTAAGTTACATAGATTTCTCATGAGTATACTAGCTTTAGGCCAGTAACCATATATTGGTTTCATTATTGGAATCAATGTTCAATGCTTCAAAGTTTCAATAGATGTGGCTAGAAAAAATAAATGACAGGACTTAATCAATTCATCAAATCATTTGCAGATTCATTTGATTAGACAATTCCCGCTGCCACTAAGCTGCGACTAATTTCCTAATAGCATCCAAATCAATGCCTATTCAACACTCACTTATATCTCTTTTATTAGAATCCATAAAATTTGATGCTCGGATGGAGTTAAAAGGTTGGTAACATATCTATAGGAAGCTTTTTTAAGAGCCTCGTGATGTGCTCCAGGAAACATCTATGCAAGTGCTCAAGCCTTAATGTTGGCTCTGCTAAATTATAGGAATCACTCACAATGAAGTTATAAAGTGCGTATCTTTATTGCCATTCAAATTTAAGTAAGTTTACAGCCATGTAGAAGTAAAGGAACTCAGATACTTCCATTAGAAGATAGAACATCATGAGAACTTATTGACAGGGCTTCTTAAAGTACTCAAGAGAGCATTTGAAGTTTCAAGCATAAGCATTGGGGTTTTGGAGGAGGTATGCTTCGGCAACCTTGTACATTCCGAAGGCTCGCTCTTTGCCTGCCTTAACGTCCTCTTCTTTAAGCTCAACATCTCCCTTCGTGTAGTACGTGCTCGTCATCTTGTTCTTGCTCCCGCCTTCCGGTGTTGGCTCGAATTTGACTTCATAAACAATAGATTCAAACTTCTCCTTAAGATCGATCATGGTATACTTGTACGTGAATGTCTCTAAGTTCAGCTCATCCACGCGATTCTTCATGCTGCTAAGCTGACCACCTGTATACAATAGAAGGAGCTTATATCATAGTATACTTGTCTACGCCCTAATATTTATTAAAGCTAGAAAAGAAGCACATTTATACAACAAAAAAAAGCATGATCACCTTCAATGAAGTTGATCTGCTTAATGGTTCCAGCCCCTCCGTCGCCTTGGATGATGTCAATGCTCTTAATAGTTTGAGGCATGAGTTTGGGAATTAGGTTATGCGAGTCCACAACCATGGCCTTGAACAATTTTGCTGAAGGGATTGGGGAAGTGTATTCATTTGTGAAAGTGAACACACCCATGATGTCTTTATGGTCGCTAGCTCCAGAAATATGAACAATATGATCAGAGAGAGTGGAATTGAAGGAGGTCTGTGAGCTTGGGATAGAAGAGATGAGAATGAGATATACTTATAGGTGGGAGTGGAGGAGTCCTGATTTTTCACGAGTGTATCCCATTGGCTGATAAATTCTAGGATTGCCAAACTTGCAAAGCACCAAACATTCTGCTTTTTGTCATGTTTTGCATGAAAGAAACTTCACTAGTAGATTGGGGATCCATTTTCTAGGAGGGAGATTAAGAGAGACCACTAGGATCCAAAGGAGAGCATTTCTCATGTCCATAGCTGTCCTTGTTCAAGTAGTACAATGGCAACCAAACAAAACAATGAATCTTAATAACTAGACAAATTAATGTACTATAATTGAAATTCTCAACGGACCATGAGTTCGATTCACGTTACAGACTGTTCGGTTTGAGTTATAATTATTCCATACCACCCGCAATCCTAAAGATTTGATGTTGATGGCTAACGGTAAGGAATTTATGATGTTAATCGAACTTGTGAAAGCCAAATGACTCCTTCATTGCCAATCACTTAGTGGGATTCAATTGCCCAGTTTAAATGAACACAATCAGGTCGAATTGTTACATGGAATGAACTTATTCCCTCAACCATGCCAGGTTTAGCTTCCCTCAAGGATATTATTCATAATAACTTGCTCAGATCCCCAAAACTGTTGAAATTAAGCTAACTTGATTTTTCTTAATAATATATCAAAATGTTTGAATCAAATTGTGATATATTCAAATAACTTGAAAACTCTGGTCCTGTTTTTCTAGTCATACCCTTTTGAAGTTGAACACCCTTCCACAAATTTGGGATCCAGGTTTTGAAGCGCAAATTATTTGATCCAGTTCCATCAAATAAAGTGCTTTAAAGGAAGTAATTATATCACTTAACTATATATCCACACAAAAAACTCGAGTAACAGACTAATTTTTTTTTTGTACTAAATAAAGGGGAGATAAAAGGTTTATTAATGGTGCATTTATTTAGCGAAAAATGAACGATTTGAAAAATATTTTTTTTAAAAATGATCTCTTGTACCACTGACTAAATTAAATGAGTACAATATATTTTTATCATGAATGGAATTCTTAAGGCATAGATTGTTGCTAATAATGATAATGAAAGCATGTCCCTTAGACTTAAAACCATGAGAAATGCCATTGACATCAATTCACTTCACTTTGTATTTCCTACTGATTCACGGTGTAAAGCGTAAGTTTTCTTTGTATATATGACAAAAGAGGACGTAAGTATGCTATGTCTAAGCACAAAAAAGAGAGACTTGTCTCCCACGACATCACGACTTCGATTCATGATGTGAGCGATTCTCTGAACGGTTCATGTTGCGTTGTCTAACTGCATCATATTTTGCGTGAGAAGATTTCTTGACTGTGGCGGGGCTGCAATAACGGGCTCGCCAATTTAGATATTCGAACATAGGTAGTGCGACATTAACTGCTCGTGATGTGTTGTCTAACTGGGTCATTTCGTGTGGGGAGATTTCTTGAGGGAGTAGAGAAAATCTTAGTGTGTGAATACTTGTTGAACAAGAGCTTGGACACTTTTCTTTTTCGTGGGTTTCGCTCTCTAAAGAATTTGTATCCATTTTCTTATGGGGAAAACAAAATCTAGTACTCGAACTAGCATTTCTATCTGTCGGCTACCTTGCTTGGACTCAAGAAAGAAGGCGGAACTGAGCTGGGACATACGCTTCCACATCATCCAGGGGGTTGCTAGAGGACTCATGAGCCTCCATCGCGATTCCTGTCTTAGGATTATTCATCAACGCTTAAAAGGGAGCAAATTCCTCTTGAATGAAAAGATGATGCTGAAAATTTCTGATTTTGGGCTTGCAGGACGTTTGAAGGCACCCGAGTCTTGGTAAATACACACAAAGTTGCCCGAACACTGTAAGTTTTCTTTCATACTTAGACCATGACTCAGTCAGGCAAAATTTTATCTAGCTGGGACATTATCAGTATAATCTATTCACAGTTCACCTTTCTGGCCCTTATCCTTTCTTAGTTAAGGATTTTCTGACTTTTGAAGTGCATTCCACAAATCTTCGGTTCAGGCCTTATAGTCTTATTACAATTATGACATTCTATTGAAGAGAATTTGAAATGTTTAAATTATGCAGTGACTACATGTCTCCATGGGTAGAATATTTTTCTGTGAAATCCGATGACTGCTCCCAGAGATTGTCAGCAGCAAGAAAAACACTAGCTTAGATTACCGCGGACAACATCTCAATCTATCTCCTCATTTATGTAAGAGCAACATCTATCTCACAACTAATATCTTTCCTTTTTGGATATTGGCAGTCCCTACCTACTCCTAAGGAAAATCTAACAATCCTAGCATTCTTACAGGCTGAGGCGATTGTGGAGTGGAGGTAGAGAAGTGGAACTAATGGGCGAGGTGATTGCGAATGCCTTCCCACCATCAGAGGTGATTCGATGCATTCACGTGGGGCTTCTCCGCATGCCGGACTACCCTGTGGAGAGGCCCAACATGTAACAAGTGGGTCTGATGCTAAGCGGCGAATCGGATCTTCCTCCACCGAAACAACCTACATTTACCTTTCTAAGCTTGACAGCTCATGAAATCCAGTCATCACAACAAGAAAGCAATTGGTCCACAAAAGCTATCACTAACACTGTCCTTGAAGGCAGATCATCACGCGCCGTCTTCTGTAAAATTAGTATCCATGTATAAATTAGACTGGCTTTCATGTGCATTCTGTACCAAAGGATGAACGGACAGTTCGGTTTAGTGTGGAATTTGCCATTTAAATAGCCAAAGGGCCCGTTTAGTTCGACTTTGGAAGAATGCATTTGGGAGAATGCAAATACCTTTGGACTAAAGGGGTTTTCCGAAATGCAAGTAGTGTTTGGTAAATG